TGCGAGACCGGTGCCGGAAGGACGAGGTGGGCGAGGGGAGCTGGTGGTCGTCGTGCGGCCGCCGGGTGCTGCTGCCGGGAGGAGGAGGAGGGGCGGCGGTGGTGGTGGTGGTGGCCGGGTCGAGTAAGGGGAAGAGGTTGTGCGACACCCAGTGACGGTGGTGGTGCCCTCGTCGCGTCTTGGGCGGCGACACGACGGGCGTCCGAGTCGTCGACGACGACGACGACGACGACGAGGGGATGTCGGCGACAGCGGCGGGGGCGGGGTGCGCGCTCGGGTCCGAGTGCGGGTCGACGTAGGTGTCGCCGTAGCCCTGGGCGGGCTCGCCTCCTGGGCGCGGGAAGAAGGCGCTGAGGTTGCGCTCGTGGATGCGCGAGTGGTGCCGAGCGTGTGCGGTGCTGCGCTGCTGCTGGGTGGACGAGGGCTGGTCGTCGTCGTCCTCCTCGCGGACCGACTCGAGCGAGTGCATCAGCTAGTGGTGAGCTCGCCTAGCTCGAGCGAGTGAGCGGTGCGGCGGTGAGGCGAATCTGAGCCGGACGACGACGAGCGACGAGGTCCTCATCTCTCTGGGGCTGTCGTTGCCGCGTCGCCATGTCGCCCTCGCCAGCACCAGCTGCTGCGCCAGACCTCTCGCACGACCCTGCAGCCACACCGGACCCACAGCCCGAGTCCGCCTCGTCCTCCCCCACCACCGCTCCTCCTCCTCCTCCCGCCGCCGCACCAGCTGCCGCCCCGCCCGCCCCCACCGACGCCTGGCAAGCCGTCTTCAGCCAAGAGTCCGTCCCGAACGTCTCTCTCTCTCCCTGTCCTCGTCCCCCCCCCTCGCGCTTTGTCGCGCCAACTCACCCCCTCCTCCCCTCGCGACCGCAGCGCCAACGCCTGGTACTTCTGGAACGCCATCTCGGGCGAAACTACGTGGATTAACCCGCGCGACAACGACAAGCCTGCTACGTCGACCTCGACCGTCGCACCCTCCTCCTCTGCCGACGCCGGCCCTTCCTCCGACTCGCCCGCCCTCGCCTCCTCCTCCTCCTCCACCACCACCCCCACCGCCGCCGCCACGACCACGACGACGCCCGCCGACCCGTCCGCCCTTCCCGCCATCGACCCCGACCTCGCCTGGCTCGACCCGTCCCTCGCCGCGCGCCAGGCCTCGGGCGCCGGCGCCCACCTCGCGCAGAAGGGGCGGTTCCACGCGCGCACGGGCAGGTTCATGGTGCGTCCCCCCGCCCCCACTCTCTCTCCCGAGCGAGCGAGCAGCAACTGACGGGCTTGAGGGACGACGGGCGAACGCGCAGGCGGACCCGAGCGTCAACCCGGATCGGGTGAGCCAGTTCTCGAGGGGCCACAGGCAGCAGGAGGCCTACTACGACGGTGCGTCCCCCCCCCCCCGGCGGACGC